ACACACACAGAGGGAGAGAGAGAGAGAGAGAGAGAGAAAGAGAGAGAGTCGTTACAGAGTTAGAGACAGAGATTTTGGCAGATTTCTTTCCCAATACATTCTGCAGAATGATTTTTGGCTTGGGAGAGGATTCGTTTTGGTGACGTGTCACTCTCTTCTTTGCCTGATTGAGTGATGTACCATCGACAAACTCTGTATATTCTCAGCAAATGATGGCAGGACCAAAATAGTGTTAACTGCATTTATTCATTTGTGTGTCTTTTGTGTGAACGGGGCTGAAAATAAAGCTCATTGGAATTTAAGTATAGACATTAATTACATTATTTTCGTACTTAATAATGCATGAATACTGTTACTGCGCTGTTCATAAATTGCTAGGAGTTACGTTTAAACTACCAACGGGTGTTGAGAATTGAGTATGCACAAAATTCTGTGACCGATTATTCAAAAGCCTGGTCAGAAAACAATGGGTTTAATTCCTACCACCTTCCCTGGCTGCACGTCCCACAGACCTACCGCCCTAAGTATATAAATAAAAAACCAGACCTCGCACATCTCCTTCCAACTTGCTTCCTCTCAGCTTGTTTCCTAACACTTGACATTTCGACGTTGGGAATAAAAGACTCTGAAAAACCACCCAATCCATGCCTCTCACAAGTTTTACTATCAGGTCAACCGTTTAGCCCCCCTCTAGGAAAAGCAACTGAAAAGTTTGGCAAAAACACTTTTTGTCATCCTCACCACACTCCTATCCCCCCGAGGTCTCACATCACCATCAGTGTGTGCCTCACTGATCAGACACAGTGTGGTATGAACTTTTCTGGTGTAATATAACATATAATATAATTGCGGCTCACTGCGTTATGTAGGCATGAAAGTTATTCGCCACTTATCAGGCCGAGCCTGGATAATGTCTAGGTCTTGTTGCATTTGGACACGGGGGACTTCAGTTTCTGTGGGGTCGTGAAGCATAAACACTTGGATGTTGTTCGTGGGAGTTATTGAGCGAAAGTAACAGATTGAACGTTAAGGGGGTGATGGTTAGATTCTCTCTCAATGATTCAGCGATGGTAACAACACTGACTACTAAGAAGGGATGGCTGGATTGTCTCTTGTGATTGAATATCTCCCGATTGCCTGTATGGGAGCACCTCTGACAAGAATCGAGAAGCTGGAAACCATCCAAGACAAAGCAGCGCCCTTCTCCCCCGCCGCTGGATCGAGACGCTGACCCCCACCATCAACACTCCCTCCTTCCAACACACCAGCAGCAGTGTGTATCATCTCCAAGACGCACCACAGTGACTAGCCGAGGGTCCAGAAGGAAAAGGAGGTGCAGGTGCAGGGTAGCAGCACATTCTCATTCCTGCCCTCCCTTTCCAACACCATTCCACTTGGAATGTCAACGGCCATTCATACAGTGTTGCTGATGTCAAATCCCTGGAACTCCCTCCCTAATAGCACTGCGTGGGCTGTCCCTACGAAACTTGGGATTGAGGGGGGTTGATCCGCAGAGGGTCAAGAAGGCATCTTTCCCCCACATTCTCTAGGTGCCAATTAGGCGACACTGAGCCCGTGATACCCAAGTCCCAAGAAAGAATCTAAAGTTAATACGTCAAGCCTGGATGTTGCCCAGATCCTGTTGCATTTGAACGCGGACTGTGTCAGGACCTGAGGAGTCGTGAGTGGTGTTGAGCCATTGGTGAAGATCCCCACTTCTGATCTTACGATAGAGGGATGGTCATTGATGAAGCATTTGAACGTGGTTGAGGCGAGGATACCACTCTGAGGAACTCTTGCAGAGATGTCCTGGAGTGAGATGACCGATCATCAGCAACTGCACCCTTTGTGCCAGGTTTGACTCCAGCCAGTGGAAATTTTTTTTCCCCCAATACCCATTGATTCCAATTTTGCGAGGGCTCCTTGATGCCATGCTCGGTTGAATGCGGCTCTGATGTCAGGACCTCACATCCCTCAGCAACCCAGTTCTGGAGACAGTACCTGATTGGTGACAACACTCCAGTGTAATCCAGGGGAGAAGGCTAATGCTTTGGGACAATGGGTTGGAATTGTCATCCCTACATCTGGAAGAATTGATGACCAGTTGATAAGCTTCGAAATTGGAAATTAATGTCAGTGGTACATAAAAGTGGAGATTAATCTGAATTAAGATTGACCCACATTAAATAGTGATGTATTGAGGAAGTGGGCATGATGCAACGGGACCTAGGTATCCTAACTACAGGAAAAGCGGGTGGCAAAGAAGGTGAATGGGGTGCTGGCCTTCATGGCGAGAGGGTTCGTGTACAGGAGCAGAGATATCAAGCTGCCATTGTACAGAGTGAGATCACGCCTGGAGTATTGTCTGCGTGGTTTTGGGGATGTACTTATCTGAGGAAGTGCGCAGCGAAGATTTCCCAGACCAATTCCTGGGATGTCAGGAGTGATGAGTGAAGAGAGACTGGATCAGTTAGGGCCATATGCGCCGGGAGTTTCGAAGAATTAGGGGGAATCTCATAGAAACCTGTAAAATTCCAACGGCAGTACACAGGGTAAATGTAGGAAGGATGCTCCAGGTGACCAGGGGAAGAGTTCAGAACCAGGTGGTCACAGTCTAAAGAAGGTGGAGTGGGACTGAAATGAGGAGAAATGTCTTCACTCGGAGAGTGGGGGAGCCTGTGCAATTCTCTGTCACAGAAAGCTGAGTGTTTTCATGAAGGAGTTAGATCCCATTGTTAGGGACGAAAGAGTACAGGGGGAGAAAACAGGGAACAGGAGACTCAGTTCGCTGATCAGTAGTAAATTATTTTCCAAAGCAAATGAGGAACCGATGGGATGGGCCCGATGACCTCAATTCTCCTCCCGTCTCTTAATGTCTCCCTCTCTCACTCCCTTGCTTTTTCGCTGTCTCGCTCTTCACTGTCTCTCGCTAACTCCCTCTCTCTGTTTCTTGCCATCTCTACCTCATCGGCAATGTAGCGGGAAGGGGAGGTAGAAGGCAGGAGGTGGGCACCGGAAAGGAGTGAGAGCCAGCATCAAATAGATGGGCTGCACAGCGTAAGGCCACACCAGAGCGACTCCTGGACCCATGGGGATGCGGTTGGTGTTCATCTGGGTTCCTTGAAGGGGGTGCCACTCAGTTAGAGGGGCAATTCGAGACAGAGCGCTGTCTTTATTTGTGAGAATGGTATCCAATGGAGGGATAGAAATTGCTGAGAAGCAAAGCACTGGCAGTGAAATAATCGCCTGTGGGGAGAATAAGGGGCATCTTCTGATGTATGACTACATTGCAGTCAGCCAGGTGGACCTCCAGCACGGAGACAGGGAGGGGTGGGGGGGGGGGGGGGGGGGAGGGGGGGGGGGGGGGGGTGAAGAGAGGCGGAGAGAGAGAGGGGTGAAAGAGAGAGAGACAGGGTTGGAGGGGTGGTGAAGAGACAGGGAGAGAGAAATACAGAATGAGCACAGTGCTCAACAGGGAACCAGTGGATATGATATATCTGGATTTCCAGAAGGCATTGGACAAGGCACCCAAATAAATGCCAACAAAGTGCTGTTGAGGCCATACCTGGAGAACTGCACACAGTTTGGGTCTCCTTACTTGAGAAAGGATGCATTGGCACTGGAAGGGGTGCAGACGAAGTTCAGAAGGTTGAATTCGGAGTTGAAAGGGAGAGAGACAGAGTGGACTGGGACTATACACATTGGAATTTAGAAGAATGAGGTGGGAGGAGTGTCTTAAAGAAACGTGTAAATTTATGAAGGGAATAAATAAAATAGAAGCGGGGTATTTTTCCTCACATGTGAAACTGGAGCAAAGGGGAATGTCTCAAAATAAGTGGGTAGGTTCAAGACTGAATTGAGGAGGAACTTCTTCACCCAAAGGGCTGTGAATCTGTGGAACTCCTCACCCAGTTGAGGGTACTTTGTTGAATGTTTTTAAAGCCAGGACAGATAATTTTGTGAACAGTAAAGGAATTAAGGGTAATGGTGAGCTGATGGTAAGTGTAACTGAGATCACGAAAAGATCATCCATGATCTTATTTAATAGCGGAGCATGTTCGATGAGCCAGGTGGCCTACCCCTGCTTCTGATATTCTTATGAAAGTAGGAAGGGGGTTTGGTGGGGAAGTGAATGATGAAGAGACAGAGAGAGAGGGAGAGGACAGAGAGGTAGAGAGAGATAGAGAAAGGAGAGTTAGTAGGAACTGCAGATGATTTTCTGAAGAAGGGTCTAGACCCGAAACATCAGCTTTCCTGCCCCTCCAATGCTGCCTGGCCTGCTGTGTTCATTCAGCTCTACACCTTGTTATCTCAGGGAAAGGAGAGATCAGGAATAGGCTTGCATGCTCTGACATCAGGCTGCAATTTCAACCATCTATCGACGAATTATAATCAATGATCATTAAAATAATGCTTCAGAGCTTGCTGCAGACCCTTCGGCCCATCTCCTATCCTATTCTGGGAACTCTTGCTGCTCCTGGTGTGGCATCCTTCATTGCCGTGACCAATTCTCACAGGACTAGACAGGGTCGAAGCAGGAAAGATGTTCCTGATGACTGGCAAAGAGCCAGGCCGAAGGAGATGGCGTAGGTCATTAACATGGCTATGACTGTGCGCGATGCATTGAAAACATCAACTGGGTTGCATCGTGGTTAACCATGACTGCCTGTAATATTTTAGGCACAACGTTTGACCCCTGAGTCTTCTGGGCAGATCGTTCCAAAGTTGGTCAACATCGTCATCAATATTTCGGCAGATGCGATTCTCAGGGGAACAGCTTCTGGGAAATGCATAGCCATGTACACGTTGGTGTGGACACGCTGGTAACTTTCCTGTGTTTTAAGTTAGGGGTCTTAGACAATCCAGAAGACTTCCAGAATGGTTTCCAAAAGCCAGCACTGGAAATTTGCGATCTAACCACCATATTTCCCTCCAGCATTTTGGCAGCAAAACTAGAACCATAGAGGAATACAGCATGGAAACAGGCCCTTCGGCCCATCTGGTCCATGTTGACCATGGTGCCCACTTAGCCAGTTCCATTTGACCGCATTTGGGTCCCTAACACTTCCCATCAATGTACCTATTCAATTTTTTTTTTAAATGTTAACATTGTACCTGCCTCAAATCACTTTCTCTGGCGGCCCATTCCATATACGCACCACTCTCCATGTGAAGATTTTGCTCTTCAGGTCCTTCTTAAATCCTCCCCCTCTCATCTTCAACCTGTGACTTATAGTTTTCAATTCCCCATCCCTGGGAAAAAAAAAAAGACTATATGCATTCATCCAATCTCTGCCCCTCATGATTTTAAATACCTTAATAATGTCACTCCTCATTCTCCTGCGTTGCAAGGATTAAAATCCTACAGTGGCCAACCTCTCCCGATAGGCAACGAGGTGCAGAGCTTTCAATGAACTGTACTCGTACTCCTAACTCCCTCTGTTCCACAACACTCCTCAGGACCATACTATTTACTATTCGTTACCTCGGTTTGACTTTCCACAATGCAACGCCACACATTTATGTGTTGAATTGCATCTATCAATTCTCAGCCCACTTCCCCATCTGATCAAGATCACTCTGTAATTTTTGCTACCCTTCCTCGCTATCCACGATACCTCCTAATTTTGTATCATCCACAAACTAACTAATCATGCCTTGTACATTCACATCCAGATCTACCTGAACACCTCTGTCCATTTGTCATTTGAAGGTCTGTGAGGGGACGACACATTTTTAATATGGTACCACTTGTTCAATATATAAATGATTTGGATGAGAATGGGCTTGGTTAGTAAGTTTGCGGATGACATCAAAATTGGTGGTATTGAGGACAGTGAGGAAGGTTATCTAAGATTAATTGTGTCATTTATATACATGATTTGGACAAAAATGGAGGAAGCATGGGTATAAGCTTGCAAATGGCACCAACATTGGTGGTATTGTGGACTGTGAAGAAGGTTGTTGGAGACGACAAAAGGATCTCGCTCAATTGGGTGAATGGGCCATGGATTGGCAGATGGAGCTTAAGTTAGATAAATGTGAGGTGTTGCATTTTTGGTGAAAGAAACAAGGGCAGGACTTGCACAGGGAAGGACAGGGGAGTGTTGTTCGACACAGAGAACTAGGGGTTCAGATGCACAGTTCCTAGAAAGGTGCATCACAGGCAGGCATTATACTAAAGAATGCGTTTGGCAAAGTTGCCTTCATTGCTCAGTGAGTGTGAGAGTTGGAGGTCATATTGTGGTTGTTCAGGACATGGGTGAGGGCCGCTTTTGGAGTACTGCATACTGTTCTGGTCGCCTTGTTACAGGAAGGATGGTATTAAACTGGAGAGAGTGCAGAAGAGATTTACCAGGACCGGAGGGTTTGAGTTATGAGGACAGGCTCACACTGGAGCATAGGAGTTTGAGGGGTGACCTTACAGCGGGTTAGGGGCAAGATAACGAATAGCAAAGGTCTTTTCTCCAGGGTAGGGGAGTCCAAAACTAGACGGCATAGATTGAATGTGAGAGGGGCAAATTTATTTGCACAGGGATTGGTTCATGTGTGGAATGAACCGCCTGAGGAAATGGTGGATGTGGGTTAAGTTACAAAACACACAAAAAAACAAACATACAAAATTAAATAAAATCAACCACTCACATTAAAGAGAACTCAAGTCCTCCTCACGTCGACTAGCAGGCACCTTTCAATCTCCTGTTTAAAACAGAAATCTCACTCCAGAGAGGTCCATGTTTAGAACCACCCTCCCTCCCCCCAACAAGAACATCTGAAACACAACAGTTTTATTCAGCTCGAGAGGGTTCAGAAATAATTTACCAGGATGTCGCCAGCAATGGAGGGGTTTGAGTTATAAGGAGAGGCTAGGGTTTTTGTCACTGGAGCGTAGGAGGTTGAGGGGTGACCTTATAGACGTTTGAAAAGTCAAAAGGGGTGTAGAGAAGGTGAACGACAGCGGTGGTTTTCCTAGGAGTGGGGGGACGTCAAGACTGGGTGCGTACGCTTCTTTGGGTGTTGACATGTCCCCTGAGTTGGGACTGTAGACCGCTGGAAAACAGTGTGCCGCAACACCAGGTCATTCACCACGGGAGCTAGGACATCAGTATTTAAATGTAGTTATCATCTCGATCGCGGTGACTTGCAAACTCATTGAAGGGGAAGTTTAGAGAGTGGCAATTTCTGTATGCTGCATTTCTTGAGAATAAACTGATGTAATATTAACTTGGGAATGAGGCAGGGCATCTGGAAGGTAATTCATGCTGGAGCTGACCAACAGAGTGATATTTATTGTCTGAACACAGCAAGGTCGATACTCAGGTACACAGTCCAACAAACTCCACGGATCCCTCAGCCCTCATTCTCTGACAGTATAGCACAATCTCAGTGCTGACTTTTTAAGAGTGCTCCCTCAGCACTGACCCTCCGACAGTGCCCGCTCCCTCAGCGCTGACCCTCCGACAGCACGGCGCTCCCTCAGCGCTGACCCTCCGACAGTGCCCGCTCCCTCAGTGCT